TAACAAAAATTAAAACAAATTAAAAAAAAAGAAAATTCAGGCTTACAGGATTCAAAAATAGAAATGCAATCAGTAATCAGCCCTAAGAAAGTACTAAAATGAATCATTTGGAAGGAAGCAGGAACCCAGGCAGCATTCTCAATAAATGTCTTGTTTCTTTGCCAAAAGGTTTTCTTTGCTGCCCTTTCTAAATAGTGGAGAGCCTGGCAAATTCAGCTCCCAAGTTTTCCCTTCTACTGCATTCAAGAAGCCCAATCTGAGATTGAAATCCTTCCATTCCAAATCCATATCTCTCAAAAAGAAAATCTGATTAGTCCAAATTGAATTTCTCCTTCTCCTCCTCCTCCTCCCTCTTCTTATTCTCCTTCTCCTTCTCCCTCTTCTTCTTTTGAGACAGGGTGTGTCTCTGTTGCTTATACTGGAGAGCAATGGTGTGATCACAGCTCACTGTGGCTGACTGCAGCCTCAACCTCTCATCTCAGCCTCCCAAGTAGCTGGGACTATAGGCTCACACCACCAGGCCTGATTTTTTTTGTTGTTGTTAAGAAATGAGGTCTCACTCTGTTGCCCAGGGTGGTCTTGGACTCCTGGCCTCCCAAAGTGCTGGGATTACAGGCGTGAGCCACCATGCCCAGCCATCAGCTTGAATTTCATCTTCTTTCCACCTATCGCCTTTGGCAGTAGGGGCATGTTCAAACAGCAGCATCGAAACTATTTGAACCGCCCTGAGATTGGAGTGGGAAGTTTCCAGAGAGAACAGATAATCAAGAAAACAACAGCACCAGGTGTCTACTGAGGAAAATTGTGCAACACATATACGTGTTACCTGGGCGCAATCCAGGACTACCACGTGTGATTATGTGGGTTACTCACACACAGTGTACTTGTCTGAGGATGAAGTAGGATCTGAGCTTGGTGCCCCAAGCCGAAAGCCCTGGTGTGGGTTCTATTGATTCAGAGGAAGAGATTCCCTTTAAAAATTAGTACAAGAGTGCTTCACCAGCTTTCAGGAAGCAGCTCTAGTAATCGTTTTAAAATATGTATTAATATGCTTTCCTTTTCCTAGTGACGGAATGTGATTTTTAATTATTTTTTTAAATTCTGAGGCAACCATTTGCTCTGGAAAGAATGTGGACTGTTAGGTCACAAATGGAAAAGAGGACGAAAAAGTTAATTTTCAGATTTTACAAAGCAAAATAGGATCTTAAAACCAGTAATGAGAAAATGACCTGGCAAGTCAGACTTTATTGTAAGAAAAGGATTTCAGAATTTTTAAAGCATCCTTTCATATATCAAAAGCAGGGCTTAGATGTTGGGAAGTTGAGTTTTATTATAAAGCCAGTGTATAGAGAAGATCCAAGTTATGAAAATGAATTAGCTCAAGACTCAGGGAAGGAGGGCAAAGAAAAGCAAGAAAGGTGGGAAAGCCCAGTGACTCACACCTGTGATCACAGCACTTTGGGAGGCCGAGTTGGGCGGATCATCTGTGATCAGCACTTTGGGAAGCCGAGTTGGGCGGATCACCTGAGGTCAGGACCAGCCTGGCCAACTTGGTGAAACCCCATCTCTACTAAGAATACAAAAAATTAGCTGGATGTGGCGGCCGGCTCCTGTAATCCCAGCTACTCAAGAGGCTGAGGCAGGAGAATCAGTTGAACCCAGGAGGCGGAGGTTGCAGTAAGCAGAGACTGAGCCACTGCCCTACAGCCTGGGCAACAAGAGCTAAAACTCAGGAAAGAAAGAGAGAGAGAGAAAGAGAAAGAGACAGAGAAAAAGAGAAAGAGGGAAGGAAGAAAGGAAGGAAGGAAAGAAGGAAGGAAGGAGGGAGGGAAGAAAAGGAGGAGAGAGAGAGAAAAAGAAAGAGAGAAAGAGAAAGGAAGGAAGAAAAGGCCAGGGGCAGTGGCTCACGCCTGTAATCCCAGCACTTTGGGAGGCTGAGGCAGGTGGATCATCTGAGGTCAGGAGTTGGAGACCAGCCTGGCCAACATGGTGAAACCCTATCTCTACTAAAATTACAAAAAGTAGGTGGACGTCGTGATGAACGGCTCTAGTTTCGGCTACTTGAGAGGCTTAGGCAGGAGAATCTGTTGAACCCGAGAGGCAGCAGAGGTTGCTGTGAGCAGAGATCACGGCACTACTTGCCAGCCTGGGTGACAGAACGAGACTCCATCCAAAAAAAAAAAAAAAAAAGAAAGAGAGGGAAGGAAGGAAGGGAAAGAAGGAAGGGGAAGGGGGAAAAAGGTTTAGGTTCACACTCTGGGAAGAAACATCCAAACAAGTTTTTGGGATGCTTTCAGGCTAGGGGTGCTTTCTCCTGACTTCTCAGTGCATCATCCAAGAAATCAAAAGCCCCTTTGAAAACACTCTCCATTCAGTAAAGGCAAGAGACACATGACTGCATCCAAGTGATAGTTTCGAAATGGTTGAGGTTTCTAGGCAAATGGGTCCAAGATAGTGCCTGCATTCCCTAATAACTGCAGATCTTTGTAAAACATCAGAAGTTTGCACAAGCCTCCGTGGGGCATACGGAAATGCTAAGAGAACTGAAATTCCAAAGAAAACCTGGGGTCAGAATATAAAAGCTGCCTGTTACAGAGAGAGACCTTACAACTAGGGACCAGGGCAGGAAAAGGAAGCTTAGAATTTAGCAGCTGATGTTGACAGAGCCCCTAAAGCAGTCATGTGGGACAAGCTACGTATCTGTGAGCTCCAGCACTGATGTCCAGGCCAGAACAGCCAAGTCACATTGCAATGTCTTTAATACCCACCCTGTTTTTTTTTTTGTCTGTTTGTTTTTTTGACACAGGGTCTCTTTCTGTTGTCCAGGCTGGAGTGCAGTGGCCCCATCATAGCTCACTGCAGCGTCAAACTCCTGGACTCAAGTGGTCCTTTCGCCTCAGCCTCCCATGTAGCTGGAACTACGGCATTAGCTACCACGCCCACCTAACGTTTTTTAAAAAATTTTGTAGACCAGGCATCGTCGCTCAGGCTTGTAATCCCAGCACTTTGAGAAGCCAAAGCGGGTAGATCACCTGAGGTTGTTAGTTTGAGATCAGCCAGGCAAAATAGTGAAACCCCATTTTTACTAAAAATACAAAAATTAACTGGGCATGGTGGAGTGCGCCTATAATCCCAGGTGCCAGGGAGCTGACACAAGAGAATCCTTGAAACCAGGAGGTGGAGGTTGCAGTGAGCTGCGATTGCACCACTGCACAGCAGCCTGAACGACAAAGTGAGACTCCAGCTCCAAAAATTAATTTTGTAGAGACGAGGTGTTGCTATGTTGGCCAGATTGGTCTTGAACTCCTGGGCTCAAAGAATCCTCCCACTTCAGCCTCCCAAAGTGTGAGGATTACAAGCATGAGCCACAGTGCCCAGCCCCTGCTTTGATGATACATGAACTTCCCCTCAACCAATGCCATTTGCTAAGGATTGAGAGGGGATGCATTTTCAGAGTAGAAAGGCACCTTGGTAGAAGCCTAGGAATAGATTGATTTTCTAACAAAAGGAACTGGTATGGACTGAAAATGACTGTGCTTAAACAGCAGAAGGCTGATTTGCTTTTCCCTGGCAATACCAGGATTTTTTTTTTTGCACTCTCAGTTGGACAGGGCCTTGAGAACAAGATGACTTATAAATAATACAATTTTTGTGTGTGTGTCTGAAACATAGTTTGTTAAGTTTTTACCTCACTACATATGAGAGAGAAAGGGTTAGTATTCATTTGGGGAAGCTGTATATTATGATGGTCCAAAATATTGTGCCAATATGGTGATTACTAGCCACATGCAACTATTTTATTTTATTATTTATTTATTTATTTTGAGACAGGGTTTCCCGCTGTGGCCCAGGCTGAAGGGCAGTGGTACAATCTCAGCACACTGCAACCTCTGCCTCTCAGGTTCAAGGATTCTCCTGCTTCAGCCTCCTGAGTGGCTGGGATTACAGGTGTCACCACGCCCGACATATTTTTGTATTTTCAGTAGGGACAGGATTTCATCATATTGGTCAGGCTGGTCTTGATCTCCTGGCTCAGGTGATCCACCTGCCTTAGCTTCCCAAAGTGCTGGGATTGCAGGTGTGAGCCACCGCGCCCAGCCCACATGCAACTATTTTAATTGAAATTAAATAAAATTAAGAGTTCTATTCATACTTGAACTTTCAGCTGCTCATTTCAGGAAGTACTCGTGTGGTTAGCAGTCACCATATAGGCAATGCAATACAGATTTACAGAAAATTTCCATCATCACCGAAAGTCTTATTTGACAGTATCTGATAACCTTGCCAACACTCTCTCCTCCACATTTGTGTGTGTATGTGTGTGTGTGTGTGTGTGTATGTGATTTTACACAATCTCCTCCACATGTTTGCCAGTACTTGTTATTGTCATTTTGAATACAGCCATCATAGTGGGTATGAAGTTGTATCTCACTGTGGCTTTGATTTGCATTGCCCTAATCATTAATACATTCAGTATCTTTTCATGTGTTTCTTGGCCAGTTGTATATCTTCTTTAGAAAGTTATCTATTCAAATCCTTTGGGTATTTTCTATTGGGTTGTCTTTTTATTGATTATTTGTAAAGTGCTTTATATATTTTGGGTTTTTTCTGTTTTTTTGTTTGTGTTTTTGTTTGTTTTTGTTTTGAGACAGTGTCTCGCTGGGTCACTCAGGCTGCAGTGCAGTGGCACGATCTCAGCTCACTGCAACCTCCACCTTCCATATTCAAGCAATTCTCCTGCCTCAGCCTCCCAAGTACCTGGGACTACAGGCATCTGCCACCATGCCCAGCTAATTTGTTTTTGTATTTTTAGTAGA